GGGGTGCAGAATTGCACGGCAGATCCACAAAAAAAAACAAAAAACAAAATAATAAATGGAGTTTCTTCCAGCGCAGAGAGAGACGAGACGCGCTCCCCTCTAGAAATGTGCGCGGCGCACGCGGTCCGGGATCACGCGTGCTATGACTTCCTGTCTGTCTGTGACGGTGGACAGTCCGCTCTCTCCTCTCTCTGCAGTTTCTGGTTCAGTCCTCCGAGTGACAGAGACCGGACCGCAGGGTGCTCGGCGGCGGAGGAGGGGTGGGGCTCCGAGCTCTCTGGGGCCCGCTCGCCGTCCGCCTGCTGACCAATAGCAGCCGCCGTGCACTCGTTCAGAGAGGAGCACGTCCGGAAAGCTCCCTCGGCACAAAGCCCTTTCATGTTCTGAACAGACTCGGACTTTGAAATCTCGGACCTCTCGGGCTTGTCGTCGTTCTCCCGCGTCCCTGACTGGTGGGCGGCTTCCTTGGCTCCGGGCACGATGAGTTTCACTGGTCCCAGCACACTCGTGGCCACAGACGTAGTGGGAGAGTTTCCAGCAGGTCTGTCACAGGGCCCCGTCCCCGTCTTGCCGGGATCTAGTAAAGTGCATTGCGTTCCGGGTCTCGGCAGCTCCGGGTCGCTGGCGGTTGTCACGTATTGCTCATTAGCAGCTGGGCACCGGGCGGCAGGGCAGTGTACCGTGTCCCTCTGTGAAGGGACACCGGCCTGAGGACAGACCGGCACCTCCGTCTGTTCTATGGGGGGGGCAACGCCGGGCTGCCTTCCCACCCTCTGTGGACTGTCATGGCGGCTCAGTTCAAGGAGTGGCTTAGTGGGCACATCTGGACCTTCGTGGCTCAGGCTCGTGTTGTGCTTTAGCGTTGCAGGCACCAGTAAAGTCTCTGGGAGTGTTTTGGACTTGCAGTCCGCCAGCTTGTGACCGGAGGAGTCAATGGTCAGGGCACGGGGGGCTATTGGGTCACTTCTGCTCCGGGAGACATGGGGCAGGTAGCAGTCGCTGTCACTCCGGCTCTTCCGTCGGCTTTGGAAGGAATCTTTCTCATCGCTGAATCCGGAACCAGAATCCTGGTCCGCCCTGAACGACATCCTCCGTCCATCCTGACTGTCCTCCGAGCCGTCGTCCGTCTCGTCCTCCGAGGAATCCACCTCTCGAATGGCCTCCTGTTTCTGCAGAGACTCCCTCCTCTCCGCCCTGTCTTGGCGAATGGCCCCGAGCTTCCGCGACGACGGCTTTTGCAGCGTCCCCTTCTCCGCTACCCCCCCCTTCCCCCCCCCGATGCTCTCGCCCATGGACTCCGCCAGGCACTGCAGGCCGAGGTCGCGCTGCAAGATCTCCTTCTTGAAGTCAGAATGAGAGATGTCCAGGCTGTGCTTACGCGAGGAAGACAACTTCTTCTCCGAGGACAGGGAGCCCGACAGCTTCTCGGCAGACTGGACCCTCTTCAGCAGCGGAGAACGCGGCGGCTCGGCGCTCTTTGGTCGGGAGATCTGGCGCACCAGAGGCGGAGAAGAATGCAGCTTTGCCGGGAAGGATTGCATGAGGTTGCAGTTGCCCAAGCTGTGTCCCGGTAGGGGCGAGGGCGAGCGCTGGGGCGACGTGGACTGCGATGTGGGCGACGGCGTGTGTGCCAGGGGGGACAGCGGTATATTGCCGGCCGATTTTCTCCGAGGAGAGCGGTATTGCCGTTGAAGCTTTGGCGCAAGTCCATGCAGCGAGCTGGGCCGGATGTGTCCGGAGCTGGCCGGGGAATTGGGAACGCTGGAGCTCGGAGAGCTGCTCTGGGAAGAGTTCCCGCCAACTGCTGAACAAAAAAAGGGAGAAAAACAGATTTTATTTTCCAACAAAGCAAAAAAAAAAA